CCTAAAAATCAATCTTGTATCATGTGCTTTAGAAAATTTGTTGAAAGTAGATTGTCAAAATGGGTATATGATGATTAATTTCAAAGGGGTTTGACAACCTAAGCAGTGGTTCTACTTAAAAACAGGTTTGTCCATGAAAAAAATGAATTTATTTGTTGTAATAATAAAAATTTAATCTGAACAATATGTTTTAGGATTTAGAGTACGTATAGAAACAATTTTTGTTTAGGATTTAAAAGTTACTAGAAGGATATAAACAACATTTGGTTACTTTGTTTAGGAGATAGAAACAACATTAATTTCCAAAGCTTAAGAGTTCAATTTTTTTTATTCATGATGGCCTTCACCCTTTGCAAGTAGGGATGTAAATGGGGTGGGGTTGACCATCCCTGTCCCCATCCCCGAGTGTCTAATCTCGTCCCCATCCCCATCCCCGACGGATGCGGGGAATCAAATATCCTCCCCTTTGTATTTTGGGCTTTTCCCCAGCCCATCCCCAATCTATCAACATAATAAACTCGACTTAAAAAAAAAAAGTTTAATAAATGATCAAAACCATATGCCATAATTAGATTATGTTTATATCATCATAAACTTTAACAAGCATCAAAAAGAAAAGTGACGATTTGGTATACAGATCGTCGAACAAAGTGACGATTGATGAACTCTTGGAATCGGGAACATAATTTGGTATATGGACTCTATCTCGGATGGTCTAATATAGATCAATTCATTTTAGTGGAGTTAATTCAAATTCAATAAATGATCGACATACTAATATTATATATATAGTCATCAAAGGGGGGCGGGGCGGGCTGGGGATTGTTATACTGGCCCCAGCCCCATCCCCGGTTTTAGCATAAAGTGGATCCCCAGCCCCATACCCGGTACCCGTTTTGGCGGGGAATACCCGTCTCCGATTGGGGCGGGTGAACCAGATTTCCCACCGGGTCGGTTGAAATTTTCATCCCTATTTGCAAGTTGTTTAATGCAATAAAAATGTAAATGTTTGCTTCAAAGAATCTCTTTTCTATATCTTTAGGATTTAAAAGTCCTTGGAAAGAAACTAAAAGTTTAACCGTTTTGTGTGCTAGGGCGTAATATGGTGTGCAGAGGCGTAATATGGATCGAACTTCCTCTTTACAAATGCTTTCGATTTTCAAGAAAATACAAGTTCAAAAGGCATCATGTATGTTCGGTGGTCTTGGAAGGAAATGTGTTTTTATTTTTGAGCTAGTTAAACGAAAGATATACATGCTTATTATAACATCCTACTTTCATTTTGTCTTACTTATAGTGTTGTACTTTCAAAAGAAAATGTTCCCAATTATGGCTATAATAAACAAATAAATGAAAGTACATTGCTATATTTGTACTTTTTATGATCATTGATTATGGTGTGCTGAAACATGAACAATTGACGGCTTTTGATTCAAAACTCAAATTGAAGAACACTTGTCAACCTTTATCGATTCAACTTACCCGATAATTTGCCAAGTAATCCACCAAATAATTCTCAATTTATGTTTATAACCACTTAGTTAAACATTTGTAGTTGACATTTTTATGTGTATTATTAGACACATTTAATGTATTATTAGACAATGTTCATTAGTAATAGTTTTATTATAATGTTATTTGTTTTGTAGTTGAATTTCAATAATATTATAAGTTTAATGTAATGGGTTTTTTCAAAATTTTGGATAGAAAAACTGGATTTTTTTTTTTATAATTATTTACTGTTTTTTTTTTTAAATAAAAAGTAATTAGCTACGGATTACCTAATCCGTAGCTATCTATTTCGGTTGCTATTTAGTGGGAAAAAAACAATTTTAGTCAAACATGACTCTCGTCGGTAATCTGTAGGAAATCCGTATCCATTTATTTCCGTAGCTATTTCATAGGTATGGAAGCTACAGAAAACTCCGTAGCTATTCCGTAGCGATTTCATATGTATAATTTAGCCACGGACCATTATGCTACATCCTTTTTTCCGTAGCAATTCCGTAGGTTTCCGCTTATAGCTACGGAATAGTTGTGGATTGTGATGTAGCTATTGCACTGGTTTTCTAGTAGTATCTGTTGACACATGTGTGTCCTTGGTCCTCAATTTCTCTTTTCACTGCTTGGGTCCTCACAAACCAGAATTGGTGTGTGTATTACTATTAATAGTGGTTTCTTGACATGTTATTGCAGGATGTGATTGAAAACGTTTTAGAAAACCAGAAGGCTACTACGATTTTCAATAGGAGATTTTCATAAGCAAGTAGTTGTCTACTGTATGATCATGTTCTGGCATGACAAATTCTTGGGAAGTCGTTTCCAGTGCATCTTTAGCTTCCTCTGTACTTACGACTCTTTATGTGAGGTTGTGTTGGCTTTACCTCTTATATTGTTGCCGCCAAGTATAGGGTCTTGATTGTTGAATCATTGTAAGTTGTTTCATTGCTCATTAGTGATTTTTGGTCAATAATTGAAGTAGTTGTCACATAAAATGATCAAGAAATGAACTTGGAGAAGCCTTATGAAAATATAAACATATAATGACATACTTACATGGTGTAAAATGGGAAAAAAATATATATATTTAATCTTTTTTTCGGAATCATGTGTTTTTAAATCTAAAATACCTTGCTTTTTTGGAATTTTTCAATCGGATAAGTATTGGTTTTAGGCTTTCATTATAATTTTGTTTTCTTTTTGGTGTATAATTAACTCATGGCTACCCTTACTCTTTTTTTTTTTTGGAAAATAACTTCTGTGTTTTTGTGACAAACGTTGACATTTTTCTGCTACAGAAAGCGTACTTGTGTTTATGTTTTTTTCGTTGCTTTGTCAATCTGCCTTTCGGATAATTTATGTGGTACAACATATTGGTAATCAAAAATATATTGTTTACAGGATATAGATTTATGTGTGCTTTGTTATTTCAGGAATCTGCAATTTCTGTTCAACTATATTTATTGCCTGGTTAGTTCATTTCATTTTACTCTTTTTAATGCTTAATTTAGGCTTAGGTGAAAGGTAAATATTTGCTGTTCTGAACCACTTTTCTCATGAGATTAACTTCATGCTTTGGTTTACCAAAAAGGCAACAGTTGGCTGAGTAATTGGTTTAATAATGAATAAAAAGAACATGTGTTTTTGGAATATTGTTGGAAAAAAAAAAAAAAAAAAATCTTTGTATCAGGGAGATTTCATCCTGTTTTGGCGTCAATGGAGTACTAAAATCAGGAGGTTAAATCGTTTGAAGCTCGAAGGGCTTTTCAGTCATTTGTTGTATAAATTTTTTTTAGCCCTTATCACCTTTGCATTTGTTTGGATAAAGAAATTAATAGAAGAATGATAAGTCTATTTGTAGCAATGTTTCTAATTATAACATTTCCCATTTGCATTGTTTCTTATTGTAGTAATTGTTGATGTTACTGTTCGGTGGCTGATGATTTCTCCAACAAATTAATATTGTCATATAGAAGGTTAATTTTATAAATTAAAAAAAATAAAAAAATAAAAAAAAAAAAGGTGACCAGCTTTGATCTCTTTCAAGTTTAAGATAATCAACTTGGAAGATAAAACATTTAATGTAAAAAATGATTTTTTTCATCTATTTTAGTTAATCAATAATCTGCATAGTGTGTTCTATTAATCCTATTCTGTTGATTTTTATTAATGTCTTTTTAACCAAAATCATGAAGAGGTCTGATCGTGAAAATGAATTGAAACTGAACATCAAGATTGTTTCTAGAAAAGATCTGCATCATTTAAGACAATTTTTAAATGTCACACAACATGATAACACCCCACACACCATTTAATTAACATCTTGAAGTTGTATTTCTTTCTATACTTCTATTTATTATCAATTTATCATAAAGTCTTAAAAATTAAAATAATCAATCATTCTCAATTATCTGATTTTGCAGACATGTCATTGTAGCTATTCTATGAGGCAAAATTGATGATTTTAATCACCACGGTTTAATGAGTGGCTCTTACTTTTGGCGTTACACATTTTATTATTTATCAAACAATTCTATGAAGTTATTGTGTTCTGTAGAAAATGTTATGTTTTTTTTTTTTTTCTCTTTGTGTTTTAATATCAAAAATGTTTATGTAAATATTTTGAAACTATGTTTTTCCCTCTAGACCCCTCAAACCACAAAATATAACAAACATATAAACTTTTTTTTTTACAAAATGGATACTTCACCCTTACTTATTACCCCTATATACCCAGTTCCCACACCCCTCATCTAGAAGGTTTCATTCTTTCTATCCTATTACTTATTTATGTTTTAACGAGCATGAGTGTGTAAGGCTCTACAACAATACCTCATGAGCCTCTATAGAGTCACTTGGAATATGAAAATATTTATATATCTCTATTCTCTCCATCTTATTTTCAATCCTATATGGATGTAGGAGAAGCTGATGAATCATGAGAGAGATGGAAAGAATGTATGGAAAATAAAGAAGGTGTCATAAAATTTACATTTTTCTATTATGCATTTGATCTTTATCTTCTGTGATTTTCATGTGGAGTTGTTTTCTCAAAAGAAAACAAATTATTGAATGACTTGCATATATTTTGTTCGAATGGGGTGTCATGGAATTCATATTTGTCTATTCTGCGTTTGTTCTTTGGTTCCTGTCGTTGTCCACTTTGCTGTTTGTATGGTTACTCCATGTGCAGTTGCATTGTCAAGAAAACACTGATCTTTAAATCATTAAATGACTTCCATATCTTTGAACTATATTTGTGTATTATGTTTGATTGTTTGATTTATATTCATCTATCCTTTTATGCTTCTAGGGTTTGTTTGGGTCATGAATTCTGGCAGAATTGGAATATAAGATCCCATTCCACTGTATGTTTGGTTGTAATAACTGCATTCCTTTAATACAAAAAAACAAGAAACAAAACCCACTTTTGTTATCTGGTTGGTGATCTTAGTCAAGTTCTTGGCTGTTCTATCTGTATAGATTGGTTTCTTAAACTTATGATAAGCTTATCATTCGAGGTATTCATATTTCTCCCTTAAGTTTTTTTTAATTCTTAAAATAATCAAAATTTTCTTTATTTTAATTCATTAAATTTAATATTACTTCATCGACAAAATGTGCAGCCAAATGAACTTTATCAGATGGCATGTGTGGCTTTCTGCTTGATAGTTGCATCGTTTAGCTTCTTTACTATTTACTTGCATAGTTATTTATTTAGTAAATTACATTTTGGTCCTTGAGTCTACTTCATTATTGCAATTTTGGGTCCCTAAAACTTTTCTCATTCAATTTTTTTCGTGATTTGAGGTTTTTAAAACCTTTTTCGTCCATATTCCAAGTCAATTTTGATACATTACTATAGCTGATTTTTACACTTTGGCTCCCAAGACATGACAAGAGTACTTTTTAGGACCAAAAGTGTAATTAAATTACTTACTTTTCTTCATTTATTTACAATAAATTATTGTATGATTCTGTGCGGTTATAAGTTAGGTCTAAGCCTTGAACTTGATAGTTTTGTTGTCGGAGACTCGGAGTCATGAAGAAGAAAAACAATCTTTCTACACACAAGGTACTGTTTTAGTTTGTGTAAATATTATATTAATATGAAAGATTTACTTTAAGGTTACTTGATGTTAGAAGATAGGGAAAACTACAATAAAGTCCCTATATATTGGCCTCATAATCGATTTAGTCCCTATATATTTTTTTTATTCAATTAAGTTCCAAATACCGGTAATCGTATTCAATTTAATCCTTTGACCCGGTCAACAGGTCATCCAAGTTTCAAAAATTACATTTTTGGCCCAGATTTCAAAATTTATTACAAATTTGATCCAAAATTTACACTTTTGGCCCGGATTTTAATTTTTTTTTACAAATTTGGTCCAAACTTTACCTTTTTTGCCCAAATTTTAGAATTTTATTATGAATTCATCCTAATTTTAGTTTTTTTGCAACTTTTTTTTTCAAAAAATTGTTTCTAATATGTTTTTTCTTTATAAAATCATATTTATACCAAAAAAAATGTATTTTCACATAAAAATCTTATATTTTCTATAAAAAACTTTTTTTAAAAAGTTTTTTGTATATGAAATATCTAGTTATAAAAATATGTATTTATTTAGTATATAAATATATATAAATTTGTTTTTATAAAAAAATGTACACACACCTATCACCTTTATATATATATATATATATATATATATATATATATATATATATATATATATATATATATGCACACAAATAGGTGTGTATCTATATTTTTTTAATTAAATCGTGTTTGTATATGAAATATTTAGTTATACAAAAACTTTCTTCAAAAAGTTTTTTGTATATGAAATATTTAGTTATAAAAATAAGTATTTATTAAGTAAATAAATATATAGAAATCCGTTTTTATGAAAAAAAATGTATACAAACACCTATTTTATCTATTTTTTTATAAAATCGTTTTTGTTTATATTTTTTTTATAAAAACATGTTTGAATATTTTTTTTATATAATACGTGTTTGTATACATTTTATAAAATGTATACAAAACGATTTTATAAAATATATACAAACACGTATTATATAAAAACTTATTTAAACACGTTTTTATAAAATGTATACGAACACGTATTATATAAAAAATTATTCAAACACGTTTTTATAAAAAAAAATATAAACAAACACGATTTTATAAAAAAATATAGATACACACCTATTTGTGTGCATATATATATATATATATATATATATATATATATATATATATATATATATATATATATATATATAAAGGTGATAGGTGTGTATACATTTTTTTATAAAAACAAATTTATATATATTTATATACTAAATAAATACATATTTTTATAACTAGATATTTCATATACAAAAAAGTTTTTAAAAAAAGTTTTATATAGAAAATATAAGATTTTTATGTGAAAATACATTTTTTTAGTATAAATATGATTTTATAAAGAAAAAACATATTAGAAACAATTTTTTGAAAAAAAAAGTTGCAAAAAAACTAAAATTAGGATGAATTCATAATAAAATTCTAAAATTTGGGCAAAAAAGGTAAAGTTTTGACCAAATTTGTAAAAAAAAATTAAAATCCGGGCCAAAAGTGTAAATTTTGGATGAAATTTGTAATAAATTTTGAAATCTGGGCCAAAAATGTAATTTTTGAAAGTTGGATGACCTGTTGACCGGGTCAAAGGATTAAATTGAATACGATTACCGGTATTTGGGACTTAATTGAATAAAAAAAATATATAGGGACTAAATCGATTATGAGGCCAATATGTAGGGACTTTATTGTAGTTTTCCCTAGAAGATATATATATATATATATATATATATATATATATATATATATATATGTGTGTGTGTGTGTGTGTGTGTGTATGTGTGTGTCAAGCAAAGAGCTTGGAAGTTGAGGAAGTGGCATTGAAGATCCAGTACAACACAGTTTTTTGTTGGTATTATTACCATGTTTTTTTAAGCATAACATCCTTATAAGGAAAATTTTGTTGAAAGTTCAATGCTATTATTGGGTCGAGTTTTTAAAGTATAATGTTTTAAAAAATAATTAAAAGTACAATGTTGTTAATGTCATTGGAAAATATGTAACACTAGATTAAAAAGTTATCCAAAAAGGAGTTGTTTCAGTATGTGTGGTACAATAAGTATGTATCATATACATTTCTTGGTCTTTCTTGAAGGCTATTTACAAACAAATAAAATGTTCTCCTTGACATCCCATTATACACTCTAATGACAAAAACAGGTTATATTTGCATCCTTCTAACCCCTGTAAAGAGGGAAATCTTCCCTAATTGTCACACAAAATCAAAATCACACAATAATCATTTAAAAATCTAAATACAAATTATCATACAAAGTAATTAAACATAAATCAATTAAAATACAAATAGAATGTCGATTAGATTGTTTTTAGTTTATTGTTTTTCAAGTTGATGTTACGTTGTTGTTCTTTCTAGTCGTTTTAGTTTTTTTTATAACCCGATATGTGATTCTTGACCCGATTTATGGCTGCTAATGATGGGATGGATAAGACTTTTTAAAATAAATTAGGATGATGGTGATGTTGTCTAAAAAAATTAATCCAATAAAAATGAATTAAAAAATTAATTAAAAGAAATTAATAATCCAATAAAGTACTAGTTATTAATATATAAATATTATATTATATAAAGTATTTTTTATTATTATTATTATTATTATTATTATTATATATATATATATATATATATATATATATATATATAAAGAAATTAGTAATCTAATAAAATAATATTTATTAATATATAATAATCCAGTAAAAAGGTAAAATCCAATAAAAAAGAAATTAAAATATATTTAAAAGAAATTAATAATCCAAGAAAGAAATAGACGACGTTTGGGACATAATTGTCTTTCCGGTCCATTAAGCTAAAAAAATATGATTTTGGAGCTTTCTGGGATACCATAAAATACCTTTTTTTTTGTGCAAATCAAAAAGTCTTTATGGTCCATTCAGCTAAAAATATATGTTCGGACATGAAAATATGTCTATCAAATAGGGCCTAAATTATAACAATAATATATGTGTATATTGAAAAGTGCATGGTCAGTGCATTTTTTTCATTTCTATCTATGCTTAATGGTTTGGATTTCATTACAGGATTGATGCATCCCTCTTCATGTAAAAAAAAAAGTCATTTTACCCTTGTCTTATATGTTTACTACATCTTATCAATAACCATTTGTTTTCTATCATCCCCACTTCCTCACCCTCCCATACGGTCATCATTTTCCACCACCACCGTGAAAACTGAAAATCAAACCTAAAGCATCATCCCTAAGCCGGCTCTAGCACCCGAGTTTTTAATACAATGTAAGTAACCTCTAACAATAACAAACAATGCATATAATAATCACAACATTGATTATATGAACAATAAAACACAAACTCATTTGTAATCTCTAGTTCCTCGCTTTTATAGTTCTTGGCTTTCTAATGAGTACACCTAAAAAGCTTACAATAACAAAAGATCAAGCTACAAATATTTTTTTTTTTTTAAACAACCAACTTAATATTAAAAAAATCTCTAACAAGAAACTAGGAAAAATGTGAAAGGTAAAAAATTCGTATCATATCTAATATATTCATATATGAATAAAATTGTATATATTCTTTATTCATATATGAATAAAATTGTATATATTTTTGTAATAAATAAATAAACGAGCATATATCATATTCATATATCAGTAACTTATTCAAATATTATATGTTTTCATTACCAGACAAAAAGAAACAAAAGTACCAAAGAAAATAAAGCATCAAAGCAGAAAAATCCATCAAAAAGGAAAACTCTTAAAAAACAACAACTACAAGATTCAGATTATGATTGTGAAAGTAGTCATCCATCGAACAAGGCAAAAAAAAGGACTCACCAATCAAAAAAGACAAAAAAAACCAATGGTAAAATAATTTTACTCAATGAAAAACAGATGTTCACCAGAGGCATTACTATCTATAATCCTTGGGATGAGCAAAGAACAAAAAGAATTTGTAAGATCTATGGGTTTTGGAGCTTTGTTAAAAATGAAAATCACAGATATACCACTGAAGCTGGGATTTTATGTTCTTCAAAAATTTGATTCTGAGAGAATGGTGATAGATATTGAAGGAACGGAATTGAAAGTAACAGCAGTGTCTGTTCATGACATGTTGGGCATACCAATTTGTGGAACCAAACTTACACAACTGGATCAATGGTCTAAGGATGATACAAGTTATGATGAATGGAAGCAACAATTTAAAAAAGATTCAATCATCCAACTGAGTGCAATCAAAAATGTTATTGTTTCTACCACACAAGTTGATTTCAATTTCAAATTGAACTTCTTAGTTCTTTTTGTCTACACGTTTTGCGAGTCAACATCAATGGGAAGATGCAACCTGTTTCCCTTGAGTTATATTTCAAGAAGAACAGATATCAACAACATAGACTGATGCAGCTATGTTTTGGATTGTCTTGTCAGAACAAAAAACTCATACATACCATACTCAGATACCAGCTTCTTTGTTGGACCTTCAGCTTTCTTGGTGGTAAGTTATTTTAATGTTTATACTCAATTTTTAATGATATTGATTATTCATAAACTAATAGCAAATATTCATATAATATATTTGTTAACAAATAATGTTTACATTACTTATTCATATATGAATAAGTCATTACTTATTCATATGAGAATAAGTAAAAAATAATATTAGTTCTTCATATATGAATATCAATTAGTTATCATTCATGTCCAGTTGTTCTATGCTGATAATATCCACTCAGAAGCTTTGACAGTAACACATAAACGTCCAACAATTTGTTATTGGAGTTCAGAGAAGATTAGATATCGAGAGGCATTTGAACAAGAAAAAGGTCAATTTGGACTTGGAGAAATAAATGAAGAATTTGTTGATGAACAAGATGAAGGAGATACAGATCTCGAAGACAATGATTATGATAAAGATAAAGATCATTCTATTGAGGTAATTAGTTTGAACATGTTAATAATATATGATTACATTAAATTATTATATTAAATTCTAATCATATACTTCTTTTTTTACATAGGCATATGAATAAAAAATATCAAAAATGATTAATAGTTTCGAGAGGATGAAGGAAAAGTTGAATTCAAAGCTTAATGATGCGATGACAAAGTTCCCTGAAAAGGAAAGTTTTAGAATTTTCGAAGAAAAGATGACAAATATGATTGTTGAAGAAAAAACTGAAAGCACAACACTTTTTAATTTTCCAATTAATGAAATTGGAGTTGAAGGAATCAATTTGACACCAATAATGGGTCAAAAAAACAAATGATCAAACAGAAAATGAAGATAAAGAGGGAAATGGTGAAGAAGATAGTGATAATGGTGCAAGTCAACTAGAAGTAGATTATTTGCTTGATTCAAATGAAGCAGATAATGAAGAAATAAAGAATGATGCAGATAAGAATCAAAAAGAAGGTGAAATTGGAGTAAAAGAGAATGATGGAAAGAGGAATGAAAATGAGAATGATGAAGAGGAAAAAGATGATCATGCTGAGGAAACAAATAATCATGAGGAGACTATTCAACAAACTGAAAATGAAAATTTTTTGGATAAAGTTGTTGACAACATTATGGACAATGTCTTCGGAATTGGAATTTCAAGTTTAAATAGTCAAGAAGATGAAATCTGGAATCACCCTGAAATGAAAACTATTTTCGATAATATTGATATAGGTAAATTTTGTCTTACTTTTATTTTAAAAAAAACATATATATATATATATATATATATATATATATATATATATATATTAATACACAATAACAATTTTGTTTGATAAATTTTGACCAGGGTCACCAATGAGTACAGATAAAACTAATACTCTTGAGGAAAATGAAAAATCAGAAGGTGTACATGAACAAGGAACAAAAGTTGAAAAAACAAATGGAGATGATACAGGTAAATGAATGATTTAAAATATATTATAATATTTATATTGATTTTTTTTAATAACATTGTTTATTCATAAGTGAATAATACACTATATAAATGAATAAAAAAATAAAAAATATTCATATATGATGTATATGTTTCAGACAAGGAAAACTCTGAAGATAGAAATGAAGGAGGAACAGAAGCTAAGAACACAAAAGATGGAGGTGAAGAAAAACATACAGAAACTGAGAAAGGAAATTTAGAAGATAAACGTAAATAGTTAAATCGATTTAATAAATTAATATAATAAGTTTTATTATTCACAAATAAATAATGCAATATAAAAAAAAAGTCTTATTCATAAATAATGATATGCATTACTTATTCATAAATGAATACATTACTTATTCACATACGAATTACTTAATCACGGTTCTTTATCTTTCAGGAAAGAAAAAGTCAAAAAATGAAAACAAGAAAAGAGAAAAAGCTGACAAGACAAAAGGAAATAAAAGAGGTAACAATTTGGATAAACATTTCAAAATATAAACTCAAATATTATAATTAACTTACAACTATTTATATGATAAATCTCCTGACATGCAGATACTCATCCAAGCTTTAGTCTAGGTCTCAGTCAAGATTCAAATCAAACTTCAAGTAAAAAATCTATTGAATCTTCACCAAAAAAACACTTACAAAGAAACAAATCAAAGACGACCATCAGAAGGTTGTTATCAGATTAGCAAAGAAAAATGTTCTTAATCTAAATCCAATCTCTGTATTAATTCCTAGTGAAGAAGGACCATCAAAGCATGATCTGGATCAACCAAGAGAGAAGAAGCTTGCTGATGCTTTCAAATCACCTTTCAAATGCAGAATAATAGACACAAAACCCAAACTGACACATCAGGATAGTATTGTCTGTGAATGGTTGTTCAACTTACAAAGCAATACATCGTAAGTAACTTTATTTTATATACATTCATATATGATTATTATATAGATAATAATCTATGACATTTTGATTATATATTTGCAGAGATCTGGGTGTCCAGACAAAATATGGTAAGATAACAAAAAGAGAAATTATGGAAAGTCTATATGCAAACACAGAGATTTTTGGAGAAGTTTTAGACACTTGGTCTGATTTACTTAACCACCAAGAACTAGAAAGGGATTTTGGAAATTCACCATAAGACGCTTCTTGAAAGTTGGAGTTTGTGTAAGTTTATGTTCTAAACTTAATTCCTTCCTTATTCATAAATGAATACACCAATATGATGTATTCATTTATGAATATTATATTTTTTTACAACTGAAATTCACATATGATTATACAAATATGATGTATTCTTTAACATAATTATATATATTCAACTAAAATTCACATATAATTATATTGGTTACAGACTGCTTATCTAACTTCAACATTGTCTAATGAAAGAAAGTACGAAAATTCAAGGAGAACTTTCATGAGAGTACCAATGGGTACAAAAAAATCTTGAACATAAAAGATATTGACATTGTATGTTAATTAAAGTTGTTTTTTATATATATTTTATCAACAAAATACTTACCATTAGATACATAAAAACAGATATTCTTTCCAGTTGTTAGAAGTGCTCACATTTTTGTGATTGTCTTCAACTTAAAGAAACTGTCAATTGAAATTCTAGACAATAGTGCAGTTGAGGAGGATTATGAAGGAAAATACGGAGTAATATTGAAACCTTTGGTATGTACCCAATTCACAACAACATAAAATAACCAATTTATTACATATCTAACTTTTATTTTATTTAATGATCAGAAAAATTTCGTTGTGAGATACTTTAAAGAAATAAACCATCTAAGAGCGAATGTAATCTCAAAAGAAAGTATCAAACCCCAACTACTTGAAATGTCATGGAGAACAGTTAAAAACAAAGTTGATTGTGGGGTCTTTGCAATGAGACATATGGAGACCTATATGGGACAACCACTCTCAAAGTGGAAACCAGGTCTTCATAAAGAAAGTGCAGTTCAGCAAACTACTTTAGAGAAGCTCAGGCAAAGATATGCACACATAATGCTAACTTCTGAAATTAACATGTTGAAGGCTAAGGTGTTGGATCTTGTTGAAAAATATAAAAAGTTGAATTCAAAGTGCGTACTGATCATGCATACAAGGCTATGCTAACAATTCAAAAAAAGTTAAAAGAATATTGATGATTGCTTGTGAAGATGAAAGAATGTTGAAGTGTTATGCTATATAATAGTTTGTGTTGAAGATGAATGGATTTGAAGTACATGTAAGATGATTCTGCGAAACAAGTTTTAAATGGTTTGTTAAATGTTGTTGAACATCGTTCTAATATTTTGTGAAATGCTTATGAACAACTTTTATTATCTTGTGTTGAATGATTATGAAATAGAAACAACTTCGCTTATTTTGTCAGTTTTTTATATTTAAATATTTTCAAAGTTTATTTATGTTTATTCATAAATGAATACGAATATGATATATTAATTTATGATTAAATTAGGAGTAATATGTTAGCATAAAAAAGTTCATATATGAATATAACAAATTTCATATATGAATATAACTAAGTTATAAGTAGAAACAAGTTTGCTTATTTATGTCATTTTTTTATATTATATTTTTATTTATTCATAAATGAATACGAATATGATATATTCATTTATGAATAAGTTCAAATTAATATGTTAGTATAACAAAGTTCAGATATTAACATAAAAAAGTTCGGATATGAATATATTTATTTATTAGTGTAACAAATTTCACATATTTGTATTCATTTATGAATAATTTACAACATCAATATAACTTATTTTATAGTAATTTAAAAACAAATATCAACATATCAATTTACCATATCATTATAAATGTGTATTATTCATACATGAATATTATTGTTTATTGTTTTTATCCGCATATATTCATAATGAATAAAACCAAATAACATTTAAAAAAAAACTAAAAAATCCTAACTGTCTTTTGCTTATTTATCAGCTCCAACTCTTTCTGGACAAGTACGTAAATTGTGTGGAACTCGTTTTCCACATCCTGATCACATTCTATGTTTTTTTTTAGAATTTTCATATGCTACTTCACCTGCACTTGGAATTCTTTTCTTGATTCCAAAACCTTTATTGCTCTGAACTTTAGGAACATGAATATTAATCTCTTCTGGAATAGGAATAGTAACACCCAAAAGCTTGCATACAACTTCACCATCTGTCTTTCTTTTCAATCCAGGAGAAATATAATCACTCTCAAATTCCTTCAACATTTGTTGCTTCTCAGCAAACAAATCCAATCTCTTTTTGTCATCTATTACAATATCCGAACATGATTCAAAACTATAATATGAATCATTGACTAGCTTTACATTCTCACAATCACCTAAATCGGATTGAACAGAACTAAAATGATAATTTCTTGATATCACATCCTTCTCCATCTCTTCAAAATGTACCTTTCAGGAATTTCTTTAACACCACATCTCATCATTATTGTAAAAGCATATATGCATAAAACACCCATACGCTTAAAATATACACAACTGCATTTTATTTCTTTTTTTTTTCAGCTTTTATTTCAACCTGATACAAAAACAAATTTTACACATTTACATTCATATAAGAATACTCATATCAACACTCATATATTCATATATTCATATAATATTCATATATTCATATATGAATATTCTCATATTCATATATGAATATTCTCATATTCATATATGAATATTCTCATATTCATATATGAATATTATTACATTTTTCATAAAAAAAAAACTAATAAATTACCTTAAATTCATTTTTAAAATCAGTTTTACAGTTGTGTTGCATAATGTAAACTTCCCAACCATCTTCAATACCAACATATGAGTATGTACAGAAAAACATGCTTTATATATTTCTTTTTGCACCTCAAAAAATAATGTACTTGTATAAACCTTTGATGATTGCAGTTCTATTTCTTGAGGTGTTTGCATTTTATATGATGCTTTCTTTGATGCCTTATCAAGATCTCCTTGAGTATTCCTTTGCTTTTGAATGGCAGTGTCATAATTCAGCATGAAACTCAAAAGTAAGTTCCTATTTTCTGAGTATGTATTAAAGAATGAATTCATACTCTCTGACCTCGATGTAGTCTTCATCAAACCACACATTGGAATATCATTAAAATATCCAGGTATCCATGAATCACGTATTGTAAACATGTCTTTAAACCATCTTGTGTCTTCAAGATTGAATTCCTTCATAAGCAAACCCCACTTCACCTAAAAAACATCAGGTTTCATATTAATGTCCCAAACAAGCTTTGAAAACCTTTTTCTAAAGTCTGTGTTAGTAAATAAATCATCTGATGTCTGTATTTAAACAAAAATATTCATAAATGAATAAATAATAATAAGTAAAATAACAATCAATATTCATAAACGAATATACTAATAAGTAATATATTTGAAATATATTAAAATAATACCCTTTTTTCAACTTTTTCATTATATTGCACATACATAATCGGTACTTTGAATTACAAAACACAGTCTCAACAGGTTGTTTTATTGCAGCATCTTGATCAGTTAAAACAAGTGTTGGTTCTTTCCCATGAGTTTTAAGAAATTCTTTAAGCAACCAAGAGTAAGACTCAATGCTTTCATTGCTTAGCAACCCAGATCCAACAGTAACCGATTTTTTATGATGGTTAATAGTAGTAAACGGAACAAAAACCATTCGATACCTAACACATAAAAAAATGTTCATTAAAGTCAATTTTTGATGTATTAATAATTGAATATAAAAATATTCATATATGAATAACCTATAAACAAAATTAGATAAACTAACTTACTTGTTTGTTCGGAAAGTCGCATCAAACGAGATAACATCACCAAATTAGCATAATATGCCTTCTCCATTTCATCAGCCCAAAACATACAGTCCAAAACATCATCTTGACAATTAAACTCAAATGAGTAATTTGGATAATAAGCTTGACGGTCATTCATTGTTTTTACTATCATTTGGGCATCTTTATAACCAATAACCCTGTTGATATCTCTCCTTAAATTTTTATAGTCAACTACTTTTGCCTTTACAAACTCATACCCACCTCTCAAACTTGCCCTCAACTTATGAGCCATAGTTGGACCTATTTTTGATGTGGAAGCACGCACAATATACTCTTTTTCTGAATATGACATTTGTCTCGTTTTTTTTAAATCGCTTCTCTTCTCAAGTGGATGGTTGTGAAGTTCATCAAACTGAAAAACTTTATAATCTGGAGTTCCATACATAGATTCAAATATAATCTTTGCTTGACAACCAATAGCTCTTGAATTTGAATTTCATTTCCTCCTAACACCACTTCTACCTAATGTGTCACAAGATTTATTTTTCTATTTACCACCACGATTACATATAACGTATTTCTTCTTTATAATCTTCTTATCAAACCTTGACTATGTGCTCAGTCTAACATCAAAACCACCAATTTCAGCATACTCAGAATATATTTTGATAGCCAACTTTAATGATTTGAAGATTAAACCCTTATATGGAATAAGTTGAACAGGTACATCTGGCTTATAGACATGTTCTCCAATTATATCATCGCAATATTGTGCATCACGTACTGAACTTGAAGATTCACCACCTAAAATAATAATGCATGAAGGAAACAATAACATATATGAATACATCAAACTCATATAAATAAAAAAATATATATTCATATATGAATAAAAACATTCATATATGAATACATAGAATTCATGAGGATTCAAAATATATAAAATAAAACATAACTTATTCATATATGAATAAAACGAAAAAAATAAAATTTTGAAATTACAATTATCACACGACTATTCATCTATGAATAAGACAACAATTTATTCATATTAACATATTCATATGTAAATAAATGATAATCAACAAAATTAAAAACAACAAAATAATTCAATAACTGATACCTTCAAAAAATAAGTTCTCGACATCTTCTTCTTCACTCTCACTCATAGAAGAATACAAATCACCATCAATAACAATAGAATTCGACATAATTCACCAAATGATCTATATAAATAAACAAAAACAATCTTAATATCGAATATAACGAATATATCTCACAAAAAAAAAGTAAAGATGAAAACCTGGTTAATTACGAATATATCTCACCTCAATGTACAAAATATCTGAAAGAAACTCAAATCATATATGATCAGATGATGTAATTAAGTAATCTCTATCGATACAGAGCATAAAAACTACAACGATATATCCGATTAAATATTAAATCAGCTCAGATTCGAAATAAATATCTCAAACTACTTAACAAAAATCCGATGAAATAACTCCAATACATATTCGAAACTTGATAATCTTGATAATGAACTCCGATTAAAAACCATTAAAACGAAGATAATAAGCATAAGTCCAAACAAATTATAAAAAGCAATAATCTTGATAATGAAATCCGATCTATTCGATTCAAACGATATACATACCTGATTAAATCGGCGGAAACTGAATACAAAGTAGAAAACTGAAACACAAATGCAAAACTTCACGATTAATGGAATGAATACGTATAATTGCTAACGAGTTATATAAAGAAAATAATCTTGATAATAAATTCCTCATATCCGATTCAAACGAGATAAAGATATCATCAAATTGGAAACTGATAACAACGAACAGGTAAGTTCTATGTAAAAAAGTTGTTAATTTACAAAGATACCCTTAATGAAAATGGACACGCAATTTTTTTTTATTTGAACATGTTAGATAAATGATTGGCTGAGAATGGTTCCCCATTCTCAACCTTTTTTCTCAATTGAACCTACCTATATATATATATATATATATATATATATATATATATATATATATATATATATATATATATATATAGGTAGGTTCAATTGAGAAAAAAAATGTTGAGAATGGGGGAATCATTCTCAGCCAATCATATATATATATATATACATATATATATATATATATATATATATATATATATATATAATATACTATTTGGAAAATCCACTTTAAACACCTCACTAGATCCAACCTAGACATCACTCCCATAAGTAGATCAATAAGTATTATGACTTGGAATCACTGATAAATCTTATTTATAAATTCATAATAACAACTATGGATATAGATATAAGTTACACTTAAAGTGTAATAAGTGCAACTTAACTTACAGAGTTCCTAGCAAAAAGTCAGAAAGTCACGGGAAAAACTCGACCCGAAAGATCCTTTTCATCGGGCTCCTAGTTATCTCAGAGCCTTGCTAAAGTGTTTAGAAGATTGGAAAAATTGGAACTTTAATGGAGGAAATTCTTTAGACAGAAAGGGACTTGAATGGTAAATGAAATGAAGTAAATCTA